TAGTCAAAACTGTGAACATATGATCGTGACGAGTGTACCAACACAACAACAAAAAAATTTTGAAATTAGAGTGTACAGAGCGCGCGAAATTTAAAAAGTCACCTTACTTTTTGATCACACCTCGTATGTATCGTAAAATGATTATTTAATATCTACATTTTCTCGTAAATTGTAGATATTAAATAATCGTCTTACGATACATATGCATGTAGCTAGCAAGAAGTCTGTAAAGATATTGTATACAAGTATAAGCACTTAGAAGTTCTTACAAGTTTTACGAGAACGTGTTACGAGTCTTACCATTCTGCTTAGAATTTATTAGTTTTATCTTATCTTTTTTTATATCTTTATTAATACACACTTGTTTGATTTTAATTATTACAATAATTGTAGTTTACAATTATTTTATTGTGATATTATTTAATATTAAATGTGTTTCTTTTATTTTGGTAACCAAGATTTTTAGATAACGTATGTATACCCATATATACAAGATTTATTGATAATACGCAAGACTGAGTAAATAATAGTGTTTGAAAAATTAGTTTATAAAAAAAATGAGTAATATATTATATAGCTTATGTTAGATACTATGTTTCTGTCTTTTATTTTGTTATTGTACTATTGAAAAGAGGAATAATAATATTACAAATTTACATTTTATTGTTGTAAACGTTTATATGACGCAGAAGAATTTATATAACAGATATAAAATTAAAAATACAAAGAAATACATATAGTAAGATTATTATAAAACTGTTGTATACTTGAAAATGACTGAAATAAAATACCAATTTGTACTAGAAATATATATATTTAAGAAAAATATAAACGTATAATGCTTTCTCGAATGTCATTACCATTTCTATTCTCATTGTCCCATATTCTATTTCTTTCGTCCATATCTAAGTCATCATAATATATTTCAGGTTCAGGTACATTGTAGAATTTAGCCGCTTTGTGAAGAACGCAACAAGCATTGACAATAAGTGCTAAAATTATATCTATTCTTGAACATTTGAATATATGAATCTATACATTATCATACATATATCATGCATATTCTCGAATATTTAGAAATATAATCATTATATAATTCTTACCAGAAAATTCTGGTGAATAATGCAGTCCTCTTTCCTTCCTTAGGCATCTCCACCGTCCCTTCAAAACTCCAATTGTTTGTTCAATACGTGAGCTTGCTCTTACGTGAGCATCGGTGTAACGAGCAGAAGGTGATCCTTCAGGTTGGCCCAATTTTGGTGTCATTAAATAAGGTAATAAAGGGTATGCTGAGTCGCTTAAAATAAGTTTTCATGTATGTGTGTATAAATATATTTATATAAAATTTTCATTAATTATAAAATGTATATGTATCACAAAATATTCTTAAAATAAATTAACAATATGAGTAATATACCTAACAACCAATAATTTCTCCGCCCATTATTATATTGCTGTTCCAAATGTGCTGAGACAGTTGATGCATTCCAAACGCGTGCATCATGCGTTCTCCCGCCATGTCCACTATTTACAGTTAATATTTTTCCATAATAGTCAGAAACCTTTAAAATACAAATATTTGAATACATTAATGATACGATAATAATAAACAATATTATAGCAAAATAATAATTTAGTTATTATCACTGATAATAACTTGTTATTTAATTTATTATATTTACTATCAAAATATTTAATGAATGGTATAACTTTCTGTTAATATATAAATGTTCTAGTTCTTTTTCTGGAGGCCAAATAGCGACGTGGGTTCCATCAACAGCACCGATTATACCTGGAAATCCATAGTTGATCCAAAATCTGAAGAAATAATAGTGACATCAATTTATTTTTATTTTTAAATATTATGTTCATCTAACAGCTAACTTACTGTTCTGTAATATGTTGAAGATCACGATACAGTTGTGGAAATTTAATCCAATATCTCATTATTTCGTCAAGTGCTTCCACAACAACATGAATTGCTGCAGATATTGATGCTTGGCACATGCAAGTTAAAAAATCTTGCCCAATGCGACATTGATATGATCCTGAAGCTAAGAAGCTCAAAGTTGCAAAGATCCATTAAAAATAATGCTTATTATTTTATAATGTAATACACAAACAATATATTTATATTTTTTTGACCGTATATTTGAGAAACTCAATTAATACTAGAATGTAACTGCCTATTACGGTCGGAGCTGGATCTTCGTTGCTTTAAATAATTCAATCTTGAATTACTAATATATCCTATATATGTACTTGCATATATACCATATTGTAGTCTTTTTCAAACTGCGCGCCGAATTGTTTTTCCGGACTAAATAAATTAAGGCCTCGGTAGTCTAATGGCTCAGGACGCTCGTACGGTTTACAAGAAATCCGGGTTCAAGTCCCGGCCGAGGTAATATTTTTCGCAATAAATTTATTAATAGTTTTTATAGATTAACATCTTTATAATGTATGATGCTCGATGGTAGCATCAAATTATTAAATTTGCTTGTCAATTTAATTCGCGATTACTAGAGTAGTTTTAATTGCGTTTATTTAGTCCGGAAAAACAATTCGGCGCGCAGTTTGAAAAAGACTACAATATGGTATATATGCAAGTACATATATAGGATATATTAGTAATTCAAGATTGAATTATTTAAAGCAACGAAGATCCAGCTCCGACCGTAATAGGCAGTTACATTCTAGTAGTAATACACAAAATAGTATTTAAAAATAGTATATTTTATATTCAGAACAACTTAATTATTAAGCAGTTTAACGACAAATTAATGACAGATTTGAATAGGATATATTGACAGATCCACACATATCTATCTGCATTTGATTTGTGTTCTATCGACCATATCTAATGACAGAATCTAATAGCAGCAAATTGACGACAAGAAACAAACAGGATTTGCAATATGTTTTATTTAAATAAATTGAAATGACATCCTACTTTACTTTTTTTGTTATATCATACTATGTCATCAAATCATATTATATTTTGTAAACTGCTGACAAGTCTACGTTAGATACAGTTAAAAATATATTATATTTTATTAGGTTTAACTTTTTTGACATAATCTACTTAAAACACACAAATTAGAAACATATATATATTTGTAACCACGTGTTAGATTTTTCATTATGTTTTATTTTGTTAAATTTTTCATTATATTTCATATTGTTTAGTAAACTGGATGTGTTCTGAGTTATGTATGAAGTACATGATACATTATTTGTTTTTGTTGTTCACAAAATAATAAAAAAAAGAATAAAATGATACATTATGTGTTTCATACATAACTTGGAACACACCAATATTGCAGTTACTTGATAGATTATCATTTAAAAAAAATTCTTACCTTTAGTTCACGGGGTATTGCTGTTTGTCTCCTCCCTTCGGGTATATGAAGCAATAAGTCTTGACATAGTCGTATTGCTGCCTCTCGAGATAACCTATAAATATATTCGATAACACTTCATTTATCATGACATATTTCTTTCTAATAATAAGCATGTATAATATACATCGTTACATTTATAAAAATAACAACTAAAGTTTAAGATTAAGCACTAGAATAAAAATTAATATATTAATAATTAATATTATTACCTGTATAATTCCTGGAATCTTTTTTCAGGAATATCAAACGGATCTTGAGAATCCTTAAAATTCTACGCATTATGCATATTGAATTGTTATTTCTTTCAATTTCTTCTTCTTCTTCTTGAAGAAAAATCCATTCAGCCATTATAACTAATTTAATATAAAAATTAAGGTAAAGGTATAGAATACTCTGCGTCATCTCAAATTTTGATAAAAAAAACTCATTCGATGCATTTTTGCACGAAATGAACGAATCTGGCAGAAAAAAGTTCGTCGCAGCCGAGTTCCCCAAAACTGCCTTTACCAAAATTAATTCACGTGAAATTTTTCATTTTTGTGAAATTTTTCACTTTTTCACGTTTCCGCTCTAGGGAAAAAGTTTCATGATCGACACCCAGATTGCCCTTTCTTTCTGAAATGTTCGAAACCGTTATTTTTTCCACATTTCTGACGTCACGTAATCATGACGCTCACGGTGCCTCACCTTTCATCTAGGGGCACTCAGTGGCTCTGTTCCAAAATTGACTGCCAGTACTGAAAATCTATAGTACACGCAACGTAAACTGTAGCATTTTCAGCTGGCAGTCATTTTGGAACACAGCCTAAGCACCGTGAGTGCTATGTAACTATGACGTCACTGTGTTCACACTGGCGCTGCAAGCACGAAATGGACCAACCATAAGCAACCGTGAGCGCACTAATCACGCTGTAAGCGTGAATCGGACCGCGGCCTTAGTAGCCGCTCTTTGCTCTGAAGTGAAGCCAATCGAATTGGTTAGCACTGATTCAGAGCAGTGCATTGATTAGCATTGATTCGGGGCAGTCCGCAGTGAGAGATTCAAGTTACTAGGAGCACTGGATCTGAATCAAGGCAAGTAAAATCACACTCGGATCGCATACACCACACCGTTTCGGCACTAGTGCAAAAGTACTAGCCACTGGCACCGAGCAACATCGAGTGAGTGCACATCAATCGAATTCGCCATTAGTTTCAGCGTCATTTTCGTTTAAAACGGAGCACGTTTGACCAATTAAATACAATGTACTCAAATTTTTAATTCATTAAAAGAACATGGTGGGTGCGAAGTTATAAATAGTGATAGACAGCTGTTATCATTCTTATGGTATGTATCCTTATAAATTTATATAATTAATGCATATCAAGATAAATACTTAATAATATTACATTTTTAGGTATGCAGGAAACAAATGTGTGATAAGAGACGTTGCATCTAGATTTAATGTAGCAGAATCTACTTTTCATTCTATCATATCAAACGTTATAAAATATTTAAATAATATTGCTCCAAATATAATAAAGATGCTAGATATAGAAGAAAAAAAAAGATTAGTTGCTCGTGAATTTGAAAATGCGTGTAATTTTTTATTTATATTTAAATAAATGCATAACAGTTATTAGAAAAATAATTATCAGTAGATATAGTAAATATTTAAAAATATATAAAACATATTTTTGTTTTGTAAATATTTATTAAATGTTGAAAATGTGTAAAATATATTTTTTTACATTATATATTTTTTAAAATAGCTTCATATGTTTAAACATAAAATATTTTTATTTTAGATATGTGAATTTCCAGGAGTTCTCGGCTGTATTGATGGAACATATATTAAAACCAGAACGCCTGCTAAAAAAATCAAGAGCACATATGTTAATAGACATGATTATCCATCCCTAACACTGCAAGCAATTTGTGATGCTCATAAATTGTTTTTAAACATTTTTACTGGTCCTCCGAGTAAAATACATGATGCAAGAATATTCCAGTTGTCATTTTTCAGTGATGAGATACAAAATATATCAAACAATTATCACATATTAGGTGATGCAACATATCCTTTAAAAAAATATTTATTAACTCCTTATAGAGATTACGGTAATTTCACAGCGGCTCAACAAAATTATAATCATAAATTGTCTACTACAAGAGATAAAATAGAAAATGCTTTTGCATTATTAAAACAAAGATTTAGACAACTGATGACACTAGAATTTATTACCGTGAAATGTTCCTCTAATTTTATTATTTCCTGTTCTGTTTTACATAATTTATGTATTATGAATAATGATTATTTAAATGAAGATATCGATGATGTAGAATATAATGATGTAGAAAGGCACATCTACAATGAACAGAATCCCAATGATAGGATACAAGGTGAAATAAAAAGAGATATTGTTTGTAATATATTGCCTTTTAATTAGAAATTATATAACAAAAAATGAACATGTGTGTGTACACAAATAAACCTTTCTTTAAAATAAAATTGTGTTTTTATTTATTAGTAGACAATTTAAAATCTCTTTTAACAAACATTTTAAAGAATATTAGTTTCTTTCAGATTATTAATACAGTTTAGAATAAAGTAAATCAGTTTTTTTTAAATTAGCGTAAAATAGTTTGTGTATACTATCAATAATAAATAATAATTTTTTATAGTATATGATATATAAAGAAATGCAAGAATATTCCAATTATCATTTTTAAGTATATATGAAGCACAAGGTACATCAGAAGATTACTTATTAAGCAATGCGACATATCCTTTCTTAGAAAATAATTATCAACTCTTTATGAAAATGATAGTAATCTACATATGTATAATGAAGTAATTTTTAGCATTAAAGAACGTTTAAAGAAACAATTATGTTAGTATCACATAATGTAAAAAAAAAAAGATTTTGTATAACATAACATAAAAAAAAATAATCTCTTTTTAGTATACATAACACATATTAAGGACTAGTCAGTAATATATTAAATAAACGTTGTCTTCAGTACTATCTGTAATCTATAATCTATAATTAACAGTCTTTAGTATCACAGCAGAATCTCGATTGTCCAATACACCGATTATTTACTTAATATAGATATTTCTATCTAAAACATGTTTTTTTTTAACTGGATACATCTGGTTCACATTAAATTGGATAATCGAAGTTCTATGTACATACAAAATAGTAAAATATTTGTGAGCTTATAACATTTTCCAATAACATAAAAACATTTCATATAAAGTTAAAAATTATAGATTTTCTACTCGCTATTATTGTCAGTTGTATTATCTGTTGAAAATATCTTCGTAAAATCACGTAATACCTCAAGTCTTTCAATATATCTTTTCTCTCTTTTTTCTTCTTTTTCTTTTTGAATCTGTAACAAAGTCTCACAGTCATTTTTATCGTTTTTTTTTGCTGTA